GGAAAAGAGTTACAAATGATTTTTATTCAGATGTTATCAATCTAATGAAAATAAATAATACATGTATACCACACTATACATTTATAAAATTTATAAGATTAATTTACCAATAATTGCTTTATTTAAAAAAAATTTAAAAGAAAAAAATTGTTTTTTATTTAACATGGAACTAGAAAGAGGCAGTGGCAAAGTGGGTAGGGTGCTAGGCTTGGAGTCAGTAAGACCTGAGTTCAAATACCACCACAGGCAGCTTTTAGTGGTGAGACTCTGGGACAAGTCATTTCACTTCTTTATGCCTCATGTAACCTTCTTCCTACAAAGAAATCACAGATTCTTTCCATGTTTGCTATGTAATTAGGTATTGCATTGGAATGTCTGAATAAGGCTTCTAAAGTCAATTGTGAAATCATTCCATTATGTAAAATTTGAATAGTTCACTTTTTAAAACATGAACAATTGCCAAAGAAGGAAGAAAAAGGCCTCTATGGTCAAAAATATTTATAGTTATTCTTTTTGTGGCAGCAAAGAACTGGAAGCTATGGGTATGAACACAAATTAAATGTAATGGAATACTACTGTGCCATAAGAAATGATGAAGGTAAAAAAGAGAGGTTGAACAGATTAGATATAAACATACATAAGTGAATAAACACACCAACATAATATTTAATAAACCCAAAAACCTTAGTTACTGGAGGGAAGGACTCACTATTTCACAAAAACTGCTGAGAAAATTGGATAGCAATCTAACAAAAAGTAGGTTTAGACCTATACCTCACACTATATGTCAAAATAAGATCCAAATGGACACACAACTTAGATATAGAAAGTCACATCATAAACAAATTAGAGTAACAAGGAAGAAATTACTTCTTTCAGATCTATGGACAGGTAAAGTTCATGACTAAACAAGTGATAGAGAGAAGTACCTGGCACATAGTAAGCACTACATAAATATTATTTATTATTATCACACGCAATAAAATGAGAAGTTTTAATTATGTAAAAATAAATTTTTGCACAAACAAATCTAATGTAATAAAAATTGGAGCAAAACAAGTAATTAGTGAAAAAAAATCTTTGCAATGAGATTCTCTGATAATGGTCTCATTTCTAAGATATAAAGGAACAGATTCAAATTTTTAAGGCTAAGAACCACCCCAATACATATATGGTCAAAACTTATGAACTTGCAATTTTCAAAGGAAGAAATCCAGGCCATCAAGAGTCATTAAACATTCTAAGTCATTAAATATTAAAAAAAAAGTATAGCAACTCTGATGTTCCACCTCAAAGCTATTAAACTGACAAAGATGACAAAACAGGAAAATGACAATTGTTGGAGGGACTAAGGGAAAATGGGTATATTACTGCACTACTGATGAAACTATGAATTGGTCCTTTTTACACCTCCAAAAAAATCAAAGAAAGAGGAAAATTATTTATACGTAAAAAAATATTTTATCAACTCTTTTAGTCGTCAAAAATTAAAAACAAAGGGGGTACGTATTAGGGAATTGCTAAATAAATTGTAGTATATAGTTGGAATATTATAGTGCAACAAAAATGATGAAATGGACCTTTTCAGAAGAAACTGGAGAACTTTATGAAAGTCTTTATGAACTGAAGAACAGCAAAGTATGAAGAATTAGAACATCATATACAAGAATAATAGCATTATAGAGAGAAGCACCTTTAAAAGGATTCAGAATTCTGATCAATGTAATGATATACCACACATCCAAAAAGAATGAAGATGAAACATACTCCTTACATGAAAGAGAAGAGATAAACTTTAGATGAAGAGACAGACATCTTCAGACACAGCTAATATGGTAATTTGTCAGATTATCCAGGTATGTACTGAGGGATTTGTTTTGTTTTGTTTTTTTTTAATTTGCTCAATTTGGGTAGGAAGGGTATAGCAGGAGACACAGATTAATTAAAAATGCTTGTTACTTGAGGAAAAAAACACCACAATTTTCTTTTCAAAAAATGTGACAAAAGGGAGAGTTTCAGAGGAACCTAAGAAGACTTGCATGAACTGATCTTGAGTGAAATAAGCAGAATCAGGAGAACAATTTAATAACGATAATGATATAAAGATAAACAACTTCAAAAGACTTGACTCAGATCAACTCAACAACCAACCATGACTCCATAGGACTAATAATCACTTATGCCATCCGTTTCCTGACAGAGAGATGATGGACTTGGGGTGCAAACTGATACATATTTTTTGGACATGGACTATTCAAGAACTTGTTTTGCTTAACTATGCATACTTGTTACAAGGGTTCTCTTTTATTTTTATTTTTATCCAATGGAAAAAGAAGGGAGGTTCTGAGAAATGATAGATTTCTGTTAATTTTTTCAAAACTTTAAATTTAAAGGCAAAATCCCCATTTTTAGAGATTTCAATATCAGCCTTCCTCCCAGTAAAAGAAATGTATACATTGTTTAGTGCGATACATTTAGATAGTCCCTGCTTACTAGGTACTGTTTCTGACATTTCAGAAAAAGATTAGAAGTTACGCAAAAGCCTTCATGAGTCTAGGCTACATGACAAGGGGACATCACATATGACAACAAAAGTGAAAAAAACCTTAAACCAAAAATCAAAAAAGTTAGAAAACAAGATACTACCAACAATTAAAATATCAAGAAATGAAAAAAAAAGATTGAAAAGCAGAAAACAGAGAGAGTCCCCCGGAAGAAAGTATAAAAAGAAAACTGTGGAATAGTCAAGAATAAGCTGTCCTCCTCCACAGATATTCTGTTTTAGCATGTGACTTCAAAAGTCCAGGAGATGGGCTCTTTGGAGACCATGAACAAGTATATTCTGTCTCCTCATCAGAAAACATACACTGCTGCATACAAAATATAACTAAAGACTTATGTATCTACATCAGCATATATGCTTGTTTTTCCATGCCAAGGAGAGGTTAGCATCTTGCCTCAGTGCAAATATCTAAGATGGGAGTAAGTATTAATTCCACTCACACTGGTAGAAATGTACATGGCCTCTAAACTACTATCACCTCCAAAATTACATACCTACTACTGTCACTAAAAACCTGATTAGGATGAATTTATTAGGGTAGTGTACAAAGCATATGATTTAGTCAATAGTATATACTGTGGTTAGCTTTGAAATGCACAACAGAATAGACATTTAAATATTAAGCAAATACTCAAATTGTCTTCTTAGCCTTTTTTCTCCTATCAGTTAGATCTTCTGATCTTTAAGGATCTGAACTATGCTTTAAAACTGTTAAATCATTAACTTAGCGATTGTTCTTCTGCTTGTAAAATATCATTTGTCATGGAGGTGATTATCTTTAATTTTTAACTTTAACTTAACTTTAATCAATATTTTCTAATAGTAGTTAAAAACAAGAAAAAAGCTACCTCAAAAAATGTTCAGTTTTACTATGGAGTCTGAATGCAAATGGAAGCATACTATTTGCTCTCCTTTTCTTTTGTCGTTTTGTTTTATTTCTTCTTTCTCATGGTTCCTCTCATTAGTTCCAATTCTTCTATACAGTATGACTAATGTGAAAATATGCTTAATATGAATAGATAAGTAGATCCTATATTAGATTATATGCCATCTTGGGGAAAAGGTAGGAAAGGGAGGGGATGAAAATTTAAAGCTCAAAATCTTATGGAAGTGAATGTTGAAAACTAAAAATTAAAAAATTATTTAAAAAAATTTTTTTAATGTTAAGTTTTCTAATACTTATTTGGTATGGTATGTTCTTCATACAGCTAAAGCTAATTTGAAGCAAACAGTTCCCCCCCAAAAAGAAATCTATTTTCTCTTACATACAAAGTGAATGGGGGGAGGGGGTGACAGTCAAAACCATTCATTCTTCACTGTCAGGGGGTGTGAAGCGAATGTTCTGGGCTGGACCTGACTCAGGCCAGTACTCTGGTGGCTGAGATTAAATATTGGGGAAAAAAAATGAGAAATCTAAAGAACATTCAGCAATTAGCAAAAGGAGTTTTCTAGCTCTAGAATTCTATGAGTTTTAAAAAATAAATCAAAATTTTTAAGATTATCATTTCATAAACCTTTAAAAGGAACCTGGGAAATAGCAGTTGTTCTCTAGTCTAAAGTGAGCTAGGGAAATAAACTAAAGAAACTATTTCAACACGAGAAAGAAATTTTAGAAATCTAGATTTCACAGTGCAGAAACATTGATGTTATGTATCAATCATAATCCACCTTAATATATACTACCTGAATTTAAAAAAAAAAAAAAAAGATAAAAACCAGCAGGGGCACTGTTACTACTATATAACCTACTCTTCTACCCAGGAAGCAAGATAGCAGTTTCTACTCATTTGTAATTTAAGCAGAGGTCCCAGTTCTAGATGACTTATCTTAGTAGTTTCTAAAACATCCTAGCTGTTTTGAACTATGAACTCCTACTTCATAGAGACCAAAGCCAAAGAAATCATAAAAACAGTCCTCAAGAGTTGCCTCTACTAACATACACTGAAATAATATATTTGTGGGGGAGGAGGGTACTAGAAATAAAGGTCTTAGAAGTCAATTAGAATTTATACAAAAATAAAGGTAAAGACAAGATTTTTTTTGATATAAAATAGCCTCAACAGAAAGCTAGCTAAAGGAACAGAAAGGGAAGAAAAACAAAAAAGAAGTAACAGAAAATGACCTAAAGATGATAAAGACATACTGAGCTGTAAGGTATATGCTAAGGAAAAACACATGGTATTTCAACACTGTTAAAACTAGAAGTCTTCATCGTATACACTGATATACACAGTGGTAAATAAACTTAATTTGTTTAAAAAGGACAACTAGTTAATGCTACATTCTTTAAAAATGTTTTTTTTTAATTTCACAAACTTTTTCTTTAAATTAATCTGCAAATGAAAATTCATTTATCTGCCTTTGGCAATATGACTCAGCACTATCTTTAACTCAAAATGACTACCATGTTAATTGTGGTCTCTTATAATCAACTTACACTACAGTTTTCAGGTGGAACAAGGAGCTGAGTAATCTCTCCACCATGCACACAGAAGATATGTTTCATTTCTCCAGAAAATATATCCCAGATTATGACAGAGAAATCCACTCCTCCAGAGATCAAGTATCTTTGGTCATAACGAGCTGAGACCTGATGAGGATATAGTAAACATGTAATTTTGTTCCGATGACCCCGAAGAGTTCGGTGAGGTGGCCAACCTGTAAATGAGATTTTGTTTTTAAAATGAGGTAGAGATTCAAGTCTTAAAAGTTTTTCAACAAAAAGCAACACGCATTAATTTATTTACACACACACAAACTTATAAAGGATTATTGTACCATAATTCATACTTTTTAAATTTAAATAATTCCAAGAAATTAAGTGGTAGATTCTATACATATTAAGCTAAAATTCTTCACCTATTGCTCTTTTGTTGCACTAACTCAAACACTGATCAAATTAACAGAAACAAAAATGATTATTATGTCCAGTCAACAAGCATTTATTAAGCACCTATGATGTGCCAGGCACTACACTAAGTGCAGGGGACACAAAGGCAAAAACAGCCCCTGTTCTCAAGGAGCTCACAGTCTAATGGGAGAGACAACAGGCAAATAATTATGTACAAACATACAAAGGTAAATTAGAGATAATCTCAGGGAAAAGACACTAGTATTAAAGGAGGTGGGAAAATGCTCCTCGTGGAAGGCAGGATTTTAACTGAGACTTAAGGAAATCAAGGGGAAGAGATGAGGAGGAGAGAATTCCAGATGTGAGGGACAGCCAATGAAAATGCAGAATCAAAAAATGCAGTGTTTTGTGTAAGAAACAGCAGGGAGACTGTTATCTCCTGACCCACAGAGGAGATGGAGAAGAGTAAAATATAAGAAGCCTGGAAAGGAAGGAGGGAAGGCTATGAAGAATTTTAAAAGCCAAACTAAGGATTTTATATTTGATGCCAGAAATAATAGGGAGCTACTGGAGTTTATTAAATGAGAGTTCACATGGTCAGACCTGGGTCTTAAGATCAATTTGACAGAGGAGTAGAAGGTAGACTGCATTGGGGAGACAATTGAGACAGAGAGACCTACCAAAAAGTTATTATGATGCTCCAGGCATGAGACAATAAAGGCAAGTCAGACATTTAACACTTTATAAATATCAACAGGACACAAAGCTTTACATTATGTCAATATATGTTTGTTTGTTTTTTTAAATAATAACTCTTCTTAAAATATAAGATTGTAAAACTTTATTTCAGTACCTCTCCGGAGCATGTGTTCCCCCTGTAGCAGCTGGACTATAGCAGTTTGTGTTGCTGGCACAATAATTATGCTTCCATCTTCACGACCACAAACTAGTCGTCCATGGGATGGAATGTACACACTTGCTGTAACTTTCAAAGGTTCACTGCTATTAGGAACCAAACTCAGTTGATCTATGATTCCAGCAGGACAAGGAGTGAGTTTACCAAAGGCCTCTTGTAAACAAATTGAAGTTGTCATTTCCAATCCTTCAGGTGTTTTGTTTAAAAATAATAAAAAGAAGAAAAGAGACAGTATTTGAACATATAAAAAGATATTTTAAAAAATGTGTATCTTATTAGCTGAACTGCCACTACCTTCTGCAGCTTCCTGTTTTTCAAGTGTGTCTGGTACATTCCAAATACACAATCTTCCTGAAGAGTCTCCTTGAATAAGTAGCTTATGGAAGCAATCCCTACGTCCATAAAAGAATCGAGTAACAGGAGGGCAGATAAATAACTGTGGGAAAAAAAAGACATATTCATTCAGATTTTTCAGCTAATTGTTTAATGTGTAATAAGGACATATAACATCAGCAACATACACTTAAGATGCATATATTAATTATTTTTCTTTAGAGCCAGGAATACAAAATATATTATCATTCTAAATCTTAAAAATGACATTTATATAAAGTTTTAAAGGTTTGAAAAGTAATCTCTTTATAAAAAACCTGTAGGACAAGCAGTGCAAAAATACCAAAAAGGCATTATTAGACTACTCTGCCATAATAATATCTAAAATTGTGCAATGATATTTAAATTAAAAATAAAATTCACTTTCTATGAATCATAACATTTCTGAGGCAAAGTGGACAGCTATTAGTCAATTAAAACTTATTATTATTAAATCATGTATACTGATTTTCACAAGAGTTCTTCACTCAAGACTATATTAATAAAAAAAAACTCTATTTTAAAATAATCACCGTGAGGTCGGCATAAAATTTTAAGATGAGGCCCATGATTTTACTGATGGAGGGAATTCCCAGATAAGCAATTCCTTCTATCAAAGCAGGTTAGCACTTTAACTGCAACTTATAATGGTTACCTAGAGAACTGAGAGGTTAAATGCCTTGCCCAGGAGCACATAGCCACCATACATGAGAGGCAGGATTTGGACCAAGGTCTTCCAAGCTCCAAGACCAGCTCTCTCTCCATTATACTATGATTTTTTTTTATAAGGGATTTGGTACAACACTCTAATTATAAAGATAAGAAAACTGTGTACTAGAGGACTTAATTTACTTTCTTAGTGATTAGTCACAACTTGAACCCAAATGGCAATTCCAAATACACATTACTTCCACACTCCATATGAAGGTATATCAATAATAGTGTCACAATTAGATTTTCACATAGACATATATTCTATGCCATTGTAAAAATTTTGTCATATTAAGTATCACATACTATACGCATATATATATACACATGAAGTATTGAACTTGGGCTAACATTTGTAAAATTAACAATTAACAACAAACTAATTGGCTACGATTTTGTTTGCAATTTCATTAGCTGGACAATTGTTCAGTCTTATCAGAAAAAAATGATAAAGTTAGGCTCCTGCTAGAAAATGAGATGTTAGTTCACAAAATCTTTGAAAAATCAAACACATCATTTCTTAATTAAATGTGGTATGTGTTAAACACATACTAAATACAAATTTTTGTGACAAGCACTGAGGGAAATATGAAGACTAAATAAGTAAATTCCCTTTCCTTCTGAACTTTATAATTCAGTAACCAATAAACCAAAAAAAAAAAACCTTTTCAACAAAAATTAATTAAAACTGACATGAAAACATAACTTAATTAAGTGAAGTTGATTAAGTGTTCCCTGAATCTCAACCGAACCAACTGTTTTTTTTTTTACTTGAAATCTAAAAGTCCCTAACACTTTACCATGTGATAGAAATATAATTAAGACAGCCATAATTTCAGGCATCAAAAAGTCATTCAACAAAGTATTGTTTACTGCAATATAAAAGCAACTCACTTTATGCCAATAAATGCCTTAAAAAGTGGGCCTAAATGAAATTTAACATGCTGGTGGGATGGGGAAAAGCAGTTGGCTATTTAAAGATACCCGGGGTGATGATTTTGTCACACAGATAATAGCCTTCTAATTTAGCTAAACATGAGAATTCAAGTTAGGGAAAGGTGGCAAATTAAGTTGGCTAAATGTATTAAGGCCATTTTATAATGGAGGATCTTGTTAACTTAAGGTTAAAAAAATTTTCTTTCCCAAAGTATTAACGAAAATATTTTCTACCTCACCACCACAGTGAAAAATACAGGATGGAATTTTCAGAAAAAATTGGACACATAGCATTCTTACGCTTTTTCTTTTAGCTTAAAAAGTACAGTCTTAAAGCTTAATATTTAATAAATTTTGGTTATAATGAAAGTTTTTCAATTAAAATAAATTTTGATTCAAGTTTTTAAGATATAGTCCTTGAAAGCTCTGAGAGGATTTTTTTAAATGATAAATCATTATATTAGACAGGATTATCCTTCTAATTCTTCCACTATTCCTAAAAGTCTATCCTAAATAATGGAAATTAGCTTTGGTATTACTTTCATCCAAAATTAGTTTGATTGTATAGGCAACATCCGTAATTCCCTAAAGGTCTTTGGAAAATGACAAATGTACTACTGTATATATTACTATGGATACAAAGAGACTAGGCAACTTTAGGGCCTATGGGACATGGAATAGCCTAAATGGGAACATTTAAGCTCTTCAATGGTGTGAAGCCCAGTGCACATAGTTAAAAGGAAGTTGAATAAATGAGAATGAAATTTAATCCTTCCCATAGCAAATTTGCCAGGAAGGGAATGAAAGTAGAACTTCTAGGAAGAAAATCATATGGTGGCCAGGTATATACCCAGGAGAAAATTATTACCAGAGACTGTAATATGATGAAGATAACCATTTTCAGGAAAATAAAAGGAGTGACAGAGAAGAAAATATCAACTAGTCATTCTGCATCCCCTTTGTCTAAGTCTGTGCTTCTTGGCCCTGCCTACTCAGTCTCTCAACTTTATTTTAAAGCTTTACTTTAAAGCTCTATTCACATGATTGAACACTCAGTACAATATTTACCTTTATGAATATTATTGCTTTATATTACAATGTGACCTGAATTAATAAATGTTTCATTCAACATATTATATGTCCAAGGTAAAGTATCTATAGCAGTCACAGGTCACATGATTAGGCAGAACAATTGAACTGGCAGAAGAATGCCATGGTAACAAGCTAGAGAAAGTTATCCATGGAGTAATGCCAATGCTTTAAGGCAAAGAACACACAGGATTTGTCCTCAAGTAAAATGGAAGTCAGAGAGAAGATGGGGGCAGAGAGGCAGGGAGGGGGGAGTTCCCTCAAAGAGCTGACCCAGTGGAGTCCTATTTTTACAGCTTTGGTTAGAGAGTCCAACAACTCATAAACATATATAACATAATGAATGTCTGTTTCATCAGTCAATAAGCATTTACAATGTGCCAAGCACTGTACAAAGTGCTGGGGATACACTGAAAGACAAAAACAGTGTCTCTGTTCTCAAAAGAGTTACATTCTAATGGGAAGACAACATGTAAAAAATCATATATAATAGATATAAGTTGTGAAAATGGAAAGCAACCTAAGCGGGAAGGTACTAGGGGTTGGGGAGGTGGAGACAAACTCAGGAAGGCTTCCTATACTCGAAGGTAAAATCTGAGCTGTTTTGAAGGAAGCCAGAAGGTGAAGGTGATAATAGAGGCCATTCAAGGCAAGGAAAACAGACAGTGAAAAGGCACAGAATAAGAAGTTGGACTATCATGTTCAAGGAATAGCAAGAAGGCTAATTAGTCAATCAGGAAATCCAATAATGGACATATTATGATGGATAGGAGATATTATGAATAAAGTTTTCCCAAAAGGTAGGTAAATATAATCATTAAGATTAGATTTTATGGAATTTTACACTGTTCTATAATGAACAAATCATTATGCTAATAAAGAACATAAACTTTACATAAAATAATTGGTTTAATACAGCTGCTTCAGTGAATTTATATACAGCCATAGTGCTCAGAATGCATCTCACCTCTTTATCCTCTCTATCCAAGAGACCATACTGTAAAGGAGGAATTAAATTTTCAACAGCTTTTCCAACATCACTGCGGAATGAACCACTAGCAGGTAGGCAACTGAGAATCAAAGAAAACACTATTTTCAATGAAAACTCATAGTTTAAAACTTGTTTCCATCACATAATTCCATACTACAAGGCTTTTTTCCACTGCTAAAATTCCAATTTTCATAACTTAATTGTAAATGTTAAAGTATTACATTGCTTAATTATAAAATATCAAAGGTAATTTAATGTATCCTACTTCAACAAAAAAAATCTTAATGTCCCTTCTGATATTTCTAATTGTGAGCTAAACTGAAACTCCCTATTTTAATCTTCAAAATTTTATGCTTTAAACTTATACCACAATTTTAACCATATACTATATTTTACAATATTTAACCATATACTGCTTTAATTTTTCATTGCAAAAGTCAGTAAATTTCTTGACATTTGAAACTGAAAGTATTTAGTTTTCATCTACATTTCATGGTGATTATAATGCCTAAACTTTTTCTTGTATTGCGACTTATTATTTATTGAGTTACCTGGCAGGTAGTTTGTAAATATAACTTTGTCCATTTTCTGTCCAAATAATAACTTTATCTGCTGATATGAAGTCACCTCCTGTCCACGTTTGTCCATTTTCACTGGGGCCAGAACATAACAGAGAATAATCTCCAGCATCAAATACCTACATAAAACCAGAGACAAACTCAAAATTCTAAATTCATGTTACAATCTAAGTCAAAACAGTGACATCTCACTTAAATCCTCTAGGAGCAAAGCTCCTCAAAGTCAACCAGAAATAGATGAGATAAAGTTCAGGTCTCCTCAGCAATAATTAGTGGCAACAACAATTGAGTAAAAAGAGGCAGAAACACTAATCAAGAGTGCTATCCCTATCCTACTGGCTTGTCATAGACAAGCAAAGATCAGAGTTCAGCTGAAAAAGCCAAAGCTCCTAGAGTAGTACAGAGTTTGTTCATCTGAAAACATGAGAAGTACTGCCCAAAGTGTGTGTGGCCTCTGGATAAACAAACAGATGAAACCATCCAGAAGAAAGGTAGGGTTGACCTTAATGAAATCTGAAAAGGCTGGAAACATCCAGCGTGTCTCACCCAATGATTTGTTTATATCACAACTATGCCGTTAACATAACTGTACAGTTGAATTTAATAAAATGAAATTTAATAGGGATGAATGTAAAGTCTTACATTTATACTGAAGCAATCAGTCTCATTAGTACAAAATGGCAAAGCACTGCTAGGCAGCAGGTTATCTCAAAAAGAGCTGAGGCTATTAGTGGACTGAAAGCTGGACACAATTCAAAAGCATATGGGAGCAAAAAAACAAAATAAAAGAATCCTAAGATATCAAGCTGCACTAAGTACAGTATCCGAATAAAAATTCTGCCCAGGTCAATCCACTTCTGGAGTTTTTTGTCAGGTTCTGGGTAATGCATTTTAGAAAGAACACTAATATACTAAAAAGAAGTTTAATGGTGAAGGATATCAGGTCCATGCCACATGAATATCAAGGAAGGAACTAAGTGTGTTTACCCTGAAGAGAAAGGTCAGGAAATACATGACAACTGTCTTCAAGTGTTGGAAAAGAGATCATTTTCTTTTCTTTTTTTTTTTCTTAAGGCAACTGGGGTTAAGTGACTTGCCCAGGGTCACACAGCTAGTAAGGGTCAAGTGTTTGGTCTGAGGCCAGATTTGAACTCAGGTCCTCCTGACTTCAGGGCTGGTGCTCTATCCACTGCGCCACCTAGCTGCCCCTGAAAGGAAATCATTTTCAAAACGGATTGAACTTCTTGTATTTGTCCAGAGACAAAATAAGGAACAAGGCATGGAAGTTGCAAAGATGCATTTTTAGGCCTGATATCAGAGGGGGAAACTGCCTAAGATTTGTAGTTATCCCAAGGTAGAACAAGCTGCTTCAATAGGCAGTGCGTTCCCACATACTGGAGGTCTTTGTGCAAAGAGTCAATGGCCACTTGCCGGGTATGTTGTAGAGGGGATTCTCTTTTAGGTCCGAGAATGGCCATTGAAGCCCCTTCCTACTCAAATTCTGGAGTTCTAGAATTCATCTGAAGACAAATAATCAAAAAGTTCAAGCTACAAACTGGCTGCAACTCTCCTTTGCAAACTTACTTCATAAAGCTCTCCTTTACACTGTTTTCCAGACAAATTACACTATCAAAGGTTACAACATTTTAACAGACACACATGTGAAAACAGACAAGGGCTCAGAAGGTGCCCTCACACCCAAAATGCCCCAGGGACAAATAAAACTCACAAGAATACAAGATATGCCAGGGAAAAGACAACAAGAAACAAAAGACCTGAACATCATACATTTCTAGCACAAATAAAGTATCATTTGGCTCTTATTCCTCCCTCCTTCCAAAGATATTCATCTCCTCCATTCTGTTCCTACTATACAACAGAAACAGACAAGCCCATACCATCAGCCAAGCAGTCCTAATTCTCCCTGCTATGATCTGCTAGCCTCAGGATTTCAAGCAGAGTGGATTCATTCAGGCAAAAGGCAGCATATTTTGTCTTCCCATCCAACCTTAGTTCAATTTCCCTTCATTCCTTAGAGTGGTAACAACTACACTCCATTTTGTGATTTCAACATGCTATTTTCCAACTATTGTCCTCCATATCTGGAAATGACCTCATGCCACTCTACTCATTTCTGCTTACAGAAATCCTCCCCTACCTTCAAGGCCTAGTTCAAGTGTCAGCTCCTCAATGAGGCCTTCTTCATTGCCACACCCAAAAGTGATCCCTCATCCATCTCAAACAACTCACATCACTCTATTTGACATCTCCTATTCACTTGTACTCTAAGCAGGACTGCAATTATTTGTATACTTTTTTTATTCTCTCTCTCCCCATTATATGAGCTCCTTGCAAAACAAATACTTATTCAATCTTTTTTGAATTTGCCCTAAAAAGAATAGAGAGCTCCTCAGAGCACCATTCCAAATACCTCCTTCAAAGGGGAAGATTTGCTACAAAAAAACTAGGAATATAAATTCAGACATGAGTACTAAAAGATTGAAATAGTCTTTTTCAGAGTTATTCCTTAGGGGGAGCTAGATGGCACAGTGGATAGAACACCAGCCCTGGAGTCAGGAGGACCTGAGTTCAAATAGACACTAGCTGTGTGACCCTGAACAAGTCACTTAGCCCCAATTGCCTCGCAAAAACAAAAACAAAAAAAAAGAAAAACACGCAGAGTTATTCCTTAAGTTTAGCACTAAATATCTAACAAAATCTACATCATCAAATAGGAAAAACCAGCTTTTTTACTTAACTGGGTAACCTTACCCTCCAATATTTGGAACACACAACCAAAAGTGACCTTTGGGTAAATGCACAGAAAGAAATACTTTGGCAATTCTGACAATAAATTGGTTTGGATTCTTCTTCAAATATTGGCTCAGTATCCTGAAAGATATAAAAATAACTTGGTTACCCATGAAAACAATCACGCAACCAAATAAAATGAAGTGAAAATGAAATTTGCTATGTTCAGCAACTCAGTAGTAAAGAAAGAACAAAAACTACATTCCAAATAGCAGAGTCACAAAAGTTAAAGACATTCAGAACTGAAAGAGCAGTGAAACAATGTAAAAAAGTCATAACAGTGATGAAGAGAGGTAGAATCAAATTTATTAACTGCCTACTATGCAACAGACACTATAGATGCTAAGGACACAGAAACAAAAAAATGAGTGAATTCTAATTCTTACCAAGCTATTATGCAAACTCAGAAACACCTGATAATTCATCCAGTTTGGTGTTATCTTTATTTCATTTTCTTTTTAATTAAGTCAAATTCCTTAGCTAGAAAGATTAGCACAAGTGCTGGCAGGGCACAGATTTGTCCTGCCCACTAACAGAAAGTAAATACGCTGAGGCAAATGACCAGAAATACCTGTGTTTAGTTTCTGTTATTTCTTCCCTCAAGTACGTTACCATCTTAGAAGTTATAGTTAGAAGTTAACTTAGATGTTTACTCAGAAGTAAAAACCAACTATTTCCTCCCACAACGCACTTCTCTATCTCATATTCCAAGAAAGTTCAGCATTCCTTAAAAGGAAATTTTTAAATTTACTTATATAATCATTAGGGCATCATTCATTCTAAAATATTGAAGAGATTATAGAAAATTAAGTAGACAACCATAATAAATACCAAAAACAGAGGCCCAAAATATTACTATAAAGAATTAAGTACAGTAAGAAGAAGCAATAATGAGAAAATTGGAGAGATTAATCACCAATCTTACCTGGGTATCACTAACTTCAGATGTAACAATCCAAACTTTCAAGATTCCTGTTACTGAAACTGCTACAACAGTATCCTCTAAATAGGAAACAAAAAGATACAATTACAGTGCATTTTCTCCAATATCAATATTTTTTAATCATAATACAGTCATAATGTTTAAGGAACTGCTTTTTGTCTATTGGCCAATGAGCTTCCATACAACTAAGGGAAATGAACTGTTCCTTTATTAATATTCTCAACTTAACAAATACTTGCTAACCTAAGGTCATTGCCAGTGACGAATAATATTCTACACAAAGTCCAAACAAAAGACCCTATTTAAGATGTTCTCCAAATGCTTCAATTCACACATGACACTGCACAAACTATATCATACCCCCAAGAACTACAAATCTTTTCAGCCTGATAAATAACAATGAAAAAGAGATTATTTTGTGAGTGTGAAAGGGACTAGACTTCACTGGTACAGTGAACCCCCAGATAAGCAAACTTTTTTATCAATGGAGGTCGTCATTCTCTCTACAATTTAAGAGTTTTGGAGAATTACTTAGAGCACTGAGAGGTTAAGTGATTGCAGGTCACCCAGCCAATATGATTCAAAGGTGAGATTTGAACCCTGGTCTTCCTGGCTTTGAGACCAACTCTCTATCCATTCTGCCATGGTTGCCTCTCTCTTGTATGTGGATAGTTAAGCCAAAAGGAAAAGAAAAACACATTATTGAAACTATATCATGCAGCTGTACGAGCAGCTCATCGAATGAGTTCACCTTAAACAGGTAAGCTGAGCCAAAGTCAGAAAACATAAAAGCAGAATCATGGGAATTTTGGCCTTTACACAGCAACTGTTTTCAATACTCCAGGATCTGATTTGGGTAAATGCAGATTCTCCCTCTAGAACACAACCCTACAAAAAGTTAATGATGAGGATGAGGATGATGATAATAATAATAATAATAATAATAATAATAATAATAATAATAATGAGACTTGAGAGTGATAACGTTGGCAAAGTCCTTTGTACAAACACATGATCTTCAAGAATTGCTATGGCCAGAAGAAGCTCATTAACCTATAGTCAACTTGGTAATGAGTCCCTACAAAGTCAACCAGAAGGTTTCTGAGCCAACAGCCATTTACTAGGCCACAGACCCCCACAAAGAAACAAGACAGTGAAGCGGTAGGGAAGAGGGTGTTTAAAAAGCTTGTGGGGAACACCCTCAGGAATAAACATTGCTGCATTCACCAGATACATCCAATTACCAAGCATTCCCTTTAGATATTTCTGTTTCCTTTCCTCAGTGTGAACAGCAATAACCTTCTGCCTTGAAAATAAAAGTTAAAATTTTGCCATGAATATAGTCCCAGCTTAAACATTGAGAGCATACCTTTTCTGTGTAACTTTGAAGGTAACAACTCAACATTACACTAAATCCACCCTACTTTAAAACCTCCAAACCAGACCCCAAGAATATATAAAGAAACCAATTAGAAATATTGTCATTTCTCCCAGATTCCAAGAGGGATGGGAAAGAGATTCCTCCCCACACCTTGGAAAGCCAAGGAGGCCAGAATCAGTATACGGACAATATTTAACAATCATCTTCCATAGGATAGGATTCAATTTGTAGGTTAACTGGTAAACTGAAAGGGATTATTTGGATTATTGGCAGTAATGTTCAGTTTCTAAAAATCAGGGAAATGGTTATAAATGTTAAAGTAAAAGAAAGTACCAGTCTCTGCAATGAAACTTGCTGAAAGGAATAATTGTTTCAATTTCCTTTTTTAAAAAATTTTTTAAAGTACACTGACCTTGTGTTCGGTGTGATCGAATAATACTCATAGAGCTAATCCAGTCAGGAGATATCTTCGACACTAAGGAGTAAAGAACCTCAAGGCTGGTGGCATCCACAACCAGAATTTCAGGGTAATGTCCATGGCACAGCAGTCTCCCTTCACGCTGATTCCCAACAGAGAACTGGTAGAACTAGTTTTATATTAAAAGAACATTATCTGTGACAAATTTGATCTTCACTTAATATTTAAACTTATCAAATGTTTAGTTATATGGTTCTCTCAGCAAAAATCCAACTGTTTCCCTAAATATGAGTTATTATCAAGTCATACTAGAAGGGAGCTCAGAGGCTACCTAATTCAATCCTTTCATTTAACAGATGAGAAAATTGAGTCCTAGGGAGACTAAGGGTAATGTCAGAGGCAGGAACTGAACACAGGCCTTCTGACTCCAGAGTCAGTGCTCTTTCCCATATGCCATGTCTCTCTAAAAGAAAATTCTTATTTGTTCAGTGGTAAAGATTGGTAACTTGTGCCCACAAATATAGCGTTACATCAAGGTATTAAGTATTATTCTTTCTTTAATATTCAGTATCAGAATATTTAAGTGACATTAAAAATACAGAACAACAAAAACAATGTTCTCAGATATATAAACGTATTCTAAGTGTAATAAATCTAAGATTCTTTATAATAAATAATGAAGATATGCCCTAAGCCTTTATACACACACACACACACACACACATTTGATGGACAAAGTTGAAACTAGGTAAAAATGTTCATTTCCCTCAAATGTTAGAAAAAAAATAATAAAGGGAAGTATTTGGATTATTAACAGTAATGTTCATTTTCTAAGTGAAAGAAAATTATGCTCTATAGTCTTAAGATCATATCTACTTCTCTATAAAATATTGCAGGGCCATGGAAGAAAAAATATTTTAAAGGACAGAGGCACACTCTACAGGAAGGAGTTAAACTATAGTCAAAGATCCTATACATCACAACTCTGGTCTCTGCACTTCAAATTTTTCCTTTTCTTACTTTTTTGGGGAGGAAATCAGGTGCGAAAAGTTTCATGTGGCACTGAAAGTTTAAATGACTTGCCAAAGACCAAACAGCCAGTATGTTTCAGAGATAAGAAGTGAGCCCGGGTCTTTCTGACTCCAAGACTTGCCCTCTGAAAATTCTGTATTTTAAAAAATTACATTTTTCTACATCTTAATTTTTCTACCCCTTAGAAGTTAGTGTCCTAACCTTATATAATCTTTCTAATTCCCCTGTATGTTAGTACAGCATATACATAGTGAGAAAACTGAAGAACAGTTTGACTACAGAGTAAGAAACAATACCAGGAATGTAACTCAAAACTTTTTCATTCATTCATCTATTCATTAAACAAATATTAATTAAGTGTGTGTTCTAGAATTGTATTAAATGCAGAAAGGACAGATGTCATGATAAAATGTCTCTGCCTCTAAATAGTTTACAAAATAGGAAGATGTAATGTGAACAAAAATTACTTTAAAGCAAAATAGATTATAAGACTTTGAGAGAGGTAAGAAGCACCCAGGAAGCTGAGGGAGAGAGGAATCAGCAGTGACTTTCAAGTTTGGGAGTTTTAGTGAAGCCTTTTAAGGAGGAAGCAGCACTTAAACCATTTTAGCACATCTGTGCTTGCAGCCTGACAAATTAAAGAATTAAAATACTAACCTGTATGCCAGTATGTGTGCAAGCTAATTTCGTAAACTCAATACATCTGCCATCACTTACATCCCAAAGGCACATTTCTCTGTAAAATATAAAATACAAAATAAATAAAAACAAAAAGATCCATTGTGGCCAACTATTTCACTAGTGAGCTCTACAAAATCATATGAATGAAAACATTCCCTCTGCCATTTAGTCTATCTATCCCAAGGTTTTGCATTCTGTTATAAATGTCTTTTTTGGTTTTTTTTTTCAGATTCATCTTTTGTCAAGTTTTTCATGAGTTTCTTTCCAGATGAGCCTAAATTATTATTTCTAATTAAAAATTAATAACAAGAAAAATTAATTATATATTCAAAAGAACTTAGGGTTTCCCAACCCTGTCCCAGTCGTACAAATATTCATGCCCTCAAAACTAACAGATTCCATTAAAGAAACTAGCTATTTTAATATTTATATTTCATATATTTATTGCCTCAAATCTATAACAGAAATTTTAGAGTTTAACTGAGTCATAATAACTTTGTTATATAAAAATAACAGTCAAGCCTTACATGACACCCTTATATTGAATATATGTATATAAAATTTATGCATAAGCACAGCTTCAAAACTCAGCATTGAAAAAAATATAGCCATGAAACAGTCAATTGAAATGCATTCTATAGGACTATTACAAATTAAATACAATATTTCACTTCTAATTTCTATTTGTAGTTCTATTTCTTTTGAAGAAATACCTTCCAAAAACATACTATCTTAAATGAAAACAAGACAAAGTAGGAGCTGGAAAACGCATTATTCTGAAAATACTTACAGAAAGAAAATTCAAATTTACCTGGAGAAAAACTTATTAATACAAATAAGTGCCTTTTTAAAGTAAAATATGTATTACTGACCTTAATACCTAGTAAGGATTACATTAAAAATTAAAATTATAGATCAATTTCCTTAGTGAATAGAAAAAAAATGCTAACCAAAATATTTAGAATACTTTTTTAATATTCTTCATGATAAAATTAGGATTTATACTAGACACAAATGGCTGGTTCAGTTCTTCAACAGAAAAAACTATTAACATAATAAAACAACAAACAAACAAAAAACCTCAAACAAGGCACATACCAACAGAAGCAAAAAAAAAAACCTTTGATAAAATTCCAATGTCACTGATGATTTTTTAAAAAAGAATAAAAAGCAAGGTATATTGAGATTTTTCTTCAACACACACACACATCTACCATAAGTTAAGAGAAAACATTATGCAACAGAGAAATATTAAAAGAGCAGGTATAAAACAAAGATATCCACTTATACTTCTCTTACTTGAGTTAGTACTGGAAACTCCAAAATTGTTATGACAATAAAAAATCATTGAAGAGATTAGCATTGGAAATGAAAAGCTCAAAGAATAATTAATTTCAAATGACATAAGTTTATCTAAAAAATCCAAAATGTGTCAACCAAAAAATTAAGAGATAAATGAACTCAATCTCCCAGAATACAAGATTAACCAGCAAAAAAATAATTTACATACTTATTTACCAGTAATAAAAATCAATAAATCATAAACTCCATTTACAACAAAAAAAATCGCAAATCTAATCACTAATCTACCTAAAAATACAGAAAACCTATATACAAGGATAACCACAAAATTATGATGACCTAAATAATAAAACAGAAATTCAACGGTCATGGATAAATTAGATTAATATTATAAAAATGACAATACTCTCCAAATTATCATATATTTAATGCAATCTCAATCAAAACACCAAAGGGTTTCTTTATAGGACTATAATACCATTATGAAATTTGTATGGAAAAACCAATGGGAAAAAATATCACAGGGGTGTTACATACAGTCACTCAGGTGGTTTTGCTAACTGCTTTTCTGTTACAAGGGAGACTCCCACTAAAAAGCAGTGGTATGCATATAGGTCTGGAAATGTAAAAATAAAAGATATCACCAAAACACAATTTTTTGAAAGTAAAGTATTTGTCTCAATTTAAAAAAAAAAAATCAAGGTGCATGCTGGCAAAAAAGATGTGAAGGGAATCCTGTACTCTCAGACTTAAACAATACAAAGTATTTATCATCAAACCTTTGGAGTAAACAAGAGAGGTAGAGTGAGAAAAAGAATGAGAAAGGACTACATTCAATAAACTTTCCACCATGATGTGTTATGTAAACATCAAAGTATGACCTCATCAATACATGGTCTAAACAAGCCCCCCAAAAATGTATTTTCTTCAATAAAGAAAACTAAGGAACATTATCTATCAAATGTACTTGGAAGAAAATTGGTTGGCAATATGGCAACAAATTTATTTCCATCCACCTACATATTTACCTCAGTGAATTCCAAGTGGATGATAAACATTTTTTTTAATCATGTAAAGAGAAAATAGAATGGAATCATATATTTCTGCCAGTTATAGAGGGGAAGCTTTTTTCCTCTCACTCAATCATTAGAAGGAATTATTTGGACAATATAGATTGGTATGAATCTATCAAAATAAAATTTTATATGATAACATACACATAATTAAAAGAAAAGTGAAACTAACAAATTAAAATTTTAAAAATTATAAAAAATACAATAACTTGAAAATATAACATATAATATTATAATATAATAATATAATGAACTGCTGAAAATTCACAAAGGTAACTGGCAATCCACAATAATTAAAAAGTCAAAGAATATGAATAGAATATTTCCAGAAAAGGATACATAAGATGTTAATAACTTCAAAAAAAAAGTTCAATTTGACTAAAATTAGAGAGAAAAAACTTAAACAACTTTGAGGTACTACCTCATATTCAGCCAACTGACAAAAATAATTTAAAATAAAGCTTTTTGGAGAATAATCCAGAAGCAGACAAGAAAAGTCCAAAAGCCACACCCTTTAACCCCGAAATCCACTGTTCAGAATATAAACAAACTGTCCTCAAATACCTCTCTCCCAAAAAAGAGCTATTTATTCAAGTGTTTTCAAAACAATATTTTTAACTAAAAAAATTAAATGACCAATAATAGTAGAATAGTTAAATAAAATTGTGGACCATGAATTGAATGGCCACGTAGTCCATTACTAGAGTGAAATTAAAACTGACAGGTATAAGCAAGACAAAGAAAATTGCAAATGCTACTCTGAATAATTAAATTTTTTAAAAAGCAGAAATAGAATAGAATCAATCCAATAACTACTTAAGATGAAAATTGAATGAGAATGAATAGACAAAGGGCACTGAAGGACACTGAAGTGAGAGTACCTAAAAAGTTATATTTGATGTGTTATAATACATTTAAAAATACGTATTTATTACACAAGTTAAATTAGATATATTGATGTTCATTATTAAATTTCTAAAAAAAATTTTAAATGACTTTAAACTATCATTAAAACATACTGTAATGCTGAGTTATTGTTGTTTTTAAAACATCACATAAACAAAACTTCAATCACCTCTCCCCATTCTAACCCCGGGAGGTAGGAAGGACAAAAAAATATTGATTCTTTCCCATCCCCAAATGGAAAAGTTGACGTACAAAATGAGCAAATGACTGGTTGGTTTCTAAACAATATGAGTTAGTGCGCAGAGGGGAACCAGAATTGAGAAGCCTGGGCCTCAATGTCATCATCTCAAAGCTGAAACTATTGCTCCAGGGTCCCACCAACCCAATCCAAACTTCAAATCCTTTGGATTTGTTCTGTGAAGTTTGGATTCAGTCAAAGGGCCACAATTAGGGACTTAGAGGGCTACATGTAGCCTCAAGGCCGCAGGTTGCCACCCCTGCATAGGGTCTAAGGCTAGTTCAGGGTCCCCAGTGTCCAAAACAGGCATCATGGAGATTGATCTGGCTTCACAACCAGAAAGAACTAGGCTCAAGTCCCATCTCTGAAACATACTGGCTGTGTAACCCTGGGCAAGTCACTTAGCCTCTCAATGCTTTAGATCAAAAGCATCAAACACATATAAACATGTATGGTTTTCTAAGTCAATTTGAGGATGACAGGGATACTTACATACTTTTTAGTGGCCCTGTTTCTATTTGAGCTTGATACCACTACTCAAGACAACACTAAGACTCTAAATTGCAAGAAAGGTGCCAATTTACACTGGTGTAAGTTACTCAACAAGAACTCCCTATACTAGTGAAACTGCAGGTCCACTGCTCATTCCTATGCCATAATGCAGGAAGGTATGTGTTAGATTTAGTTTTGTACAAAATGCACAATTTCTAAAACACCATATTCTAATAGATTAGATGATGCCTTCAATTGACAGAAAAGTAATGTCTTGCCTTATTTTTTTTTCTGGATCAATAAGGTGCCACTATGTTCAAATTCAAAGCTGCCCAAACGTCTGCCACTAATATTTAAGGATTTGAGCCAATGTAATTTCCTGAACTATAACAAGTATTTAAGAAACTATACAAATTACTGGTGGAAGCACTAGCCAGCCTCCAGCCTCTTTCTCGGGGTATAAGTTCCCACATTGGGTTGGCATAACAATATAGCATGAGGCATGAATGGAACTAGTCGATGCACTTATGCTAGCTAAGGACAATTAAGGCTGAATAATTTGAAGCTTGTCTAATAATTCAGAAAAGTGTTAAGAAAATTAATCATTTTATAGGCTTTACTGCCCAAAGTTTCTCAGAAGAGAAGCAAAGTAAAAAAGTAATAATAGACATAAACAATCACTAGCTAAAGTCATTTCCTTGTAACATAGAGACTATAATTCATATTTTCCTTTGCATTTGGCTGGCATTTATATAAAACCAAAAAAAAGATAAGCCTTACTAACATACTGGCATTCTGTTCTGAGTAAAAGTATACTAAAAAGTATTCTATTCTGAGTAAAAGAATACTTACCCACTTTCAGATGCACTCACTACATACTGCCGGTCACTAGAAGCACAAGCTTTGGACAAACAAGTAATGGAAGCTGTATGGCCAAACAAGAGAGCCCGAGGGTTAATCTAGAATTTAAAAAATAATAATGAAACATTTGTATATGAAGAAATGTAGTGGAGCTAATCTCTTAAAAAATTTTAAAAGGTTTAAACTATGAACACATCAAGATATTTGGTTAAAATTATGGTTAATGTTGAAAGCTCCTTATGAGACAGAAAAAGAATTAGTTAAGACTGATTTATAACATTAATAAAATCTATGTGACTAAACAGAGGACTATCAAAGCCAAAGAGATGATGACCAGGGTCCTCTCAAGTCAGCTATATGATCTTGAATCAATATTCTCAGTTTCATACACTTCCAGGAAAAAAAAAAAAAATAGAAAAGGAGAGGAAATTTATAATACGTTCAAAAAGGTAGAAAAACATCAAGAGAATACTGCATTCATTAACTTTGTAAAAACATATACTCATTCACAAATCTAAATTTGACAGTTAAATAACAAGCTTTATGTGACGTGAGAGGGTTCAAAATGGCCTATGCAGGGGCAGCTAGGTGGCACAGTGGATAGAGCACGAGCCCTGGAGTCAGGAGTACCTGAGTTCAAATCCTGTCTCAGACATATAACACTCACTAGCTGTGTGACCCTAGGCAAGTCACTTACCCCATTGCCTAATTCCAAAAAAAAAAAATAGCCTATGCTTATTCCACGAAGGTATGGCTGTCCATGACAGTCATGACAACAGCTCTCTATCATTTAAAAAAAAAAGCAGATTTTTATAATAGGTATAGTGTTATTCTATTACCTATAGTCATACTCAAGAAGGCCAAAGACTTGATTAGACTACATTTCTAATGCACTGGCAAATTCTTCCAGTTCAATATGTGACAAAAATGAAAAAAAAAATTGAAAAAAAAAGTGTTAGCTAACAGTTTAAGGGATTTGTCTTATAAGCACAAACATGAGAAATCTTGCTAGATTGATTAGCAGAGCTAGCACAAAGTGAGGCTCACAAACCATATGACCAAAGCACATACATCCATATAAACAAGAGTAAACCTATGTCAAATATATAGTATCAAAGAAGCAGGAATTTTTGCCAGATTTTACTACTTAATACAGCATAATAGTGGGAAAAGCACTAGTATAGGAATCCAGACACCTAGCTCCTTTATTCTAGCTCCTCTATCAATTAGTTCAATCAAAATGGGAAAGCTACTACATCTCTCTGGGCCTTAGCCTCAGGCCACAAGCATTTATCAAAAGCCTACTGTGTGCCAGGCACTGTGCTAACTAGTGGGGATACAAAGACAAAAAGATAGTCTCTGTTCTCAAGGACCTCCATCTCAATCCATCTCAATAATAATATTATTACCAATAATTATAATAATAACAACAACAATAAAAGGGGGGGAAGGGAAGAAGGGTTAAGCTAAATGATCTCTAAGGTGCCTTATACCTCTAAAACTCAATGAATTCCAAAAGGTGTGCGTAACGAGAAGCTCTCCAATAAATGACAGCTCTACACCAATACCAAACTATCAGTAAAACTCAAGATTCTCATAGTGCTGATAGTAGACTCTTTTTAGGCTGCAAAATTGTTACTTGACCAAAATCTCAAATGTAAATGATAACTGTTGCCAATCCATTCACCAAAATCTCCCATTTGTTTTTCATTTTATAAGCAGCACAGTATTGTGAATAGAGAGCCAATCTTAGAGCCAGAAGACCTGAATTCAAGTCCCTCTTCTGACACACTGCCACATGACCATGGGCTAACCACTTAGATGCTCTAAGACTAAGGTATAGAGAAGGTGCTAACTTGTAATGACAGGAGTTTTCTCTCCCTCATTTCCCACCTGGCTACACTGCTTTCAGACCTCTCTGATTTTGGCATCATACCCCCATGGCAGGTACCTTTCCCCTTCCCCTCCTTTGGCTTCCTTTTGTATACTGCAAGCTCCTGCAGTGCAGGGACTGTCTTTCTTTTTTTCATATTTGTATCCTCAGCACTTAGCACACTGCCCAGCACACAGTCAGTGTTTAATGTTTACTGACTGACTGACTGACTCCCCAAGCTTCCTATACCAGTGAATTCGAAGGTTCAGGCCCTATCTCTATTTTTAATTTTCTATTAAACATTTCATTCATTTTCTAAGAATGTCATTTCAACATTATATAAGTTTCTACTTATATTTGTAGGTTCTGGGCACTATGATTTCATTGTTACAGGGAATGTCTGAAGAGTGAACACCCTGAAGGACTATGGAGTAGTATCTTCTCAGCAACTTAACAGTCTTAGAAAGTGTAAGTGATTTGCTTTCAAGTCATGCCTCCATTACGTAACTGAGGTAGCACCTGAACCCAGGTCATCTTGGATCAAAGCTTTCATTCTATTTACTACACAAAGCTGTCTCTCACTTCTACTGTACAGATAAAGGTTGTATGCTTTTCCTTACCACTGAAAGAGTTAATTACACATTAAATTTTGGAGAAAAGGATAATAATACAGAATCAAGGAAAAAGTAGACATAAAGACAATTATATATATATGCAAAAGGTACCTGATTGGAGTTGTAAACTGATCCCACCATTCTGGAGAACAATTCTGAACTATGTCTAAAGGACTAAAAAACTGTGCAAACCCTTTGATCCATTTATACCACTGCTAGGTCTATATCCCAAAGACATCAAAAAAAAAAAAAAAAAAGGGAAAAGGACCTATTTAGAAAAAAATATTTATAGCAGCTCTTTTTGTGGTGTCTAAGAATTAGAAATTGGGGCAGCTAGGTGGTGCAGTGAATATAGCACTGGTCCTGCAGTCAGGAGGACCAGAGTTCAAATCTGACATCAAACACTTGGCACTTACTAGCTGTGTGACCTGGGCAAGTCACTTAACCCCAATTGCCTCACCAATAAATAAATTTTTAAAAAAATTGGAAATTGAAGGAATGCCCATCAATTGTGGAATGGTAAACAAGCTGTGGTATATGATTATAATGGAATATTATTGTGCTATAAGAAATGACAAGCAGGATGATTTTAGAAAATCCTAGAAAGACTTAATGAACTGATGAACTTAATGATCTGAAGTGAGGAGAACCAGGAGAACGTTGTACACAGTAACAGCAATATTGTACAGTGAAGAACTGTGAATGACTTAGCTATTCTTGGCAATACAATGATCCAAGACAATTCCAAAGGATTCATGATGAAGCATGCTGTCCTCCTCCAGAAGGAAGGCTGATACTGTCTGAATACAAACTGAAGCCTGCTAATTTTCACTTTCTTTCTCTGATTCTTTTTTTTATTTGAGTCTTCTTGTACAAAATGACTAATATGGAAATGTTTTACAGGATTGCACATGTATAAACTATATCAGATTGCAGGAAAGGAGAAGAAGCAAAAGGGAGAGATGGAAAGAACTCAAAACTTTTTAAAAAATATTTAAAAATCAATTAGGGAAAAAATAAAGTATTCTTAAAAAAAAAAAAAAATGCCAACTCAAAAAAAATAAATAAAAAAGGTACCTGAAAGATCATAACCTAACCCCCCTCATTTTCCAATTGAACAAAACTAAAATCTAAACTGAGAATTGACTTGTGCAATATTACACAGCTAGTTCACAATAACCAAGAATGAGGGGATATAACAACTCACTCTTACATATTGCTTTAAAGCAGTATTATCTACAGACAAGGAAAAAGAGGTAAAGAAATGAAGTCACAATGGTAGTTTAAAAAAAAAAAAATGTAAAGAAGCCAGAATGCTCAATATTCCCAAAAAGGAAAAAAGCTTGAAATATGGCCAACATCTTCCCTAATGAATGTTAACCAAATTTTAAGTATCACATACAAACACACAAAATAAAACTCGATTCCTACATAAATGTAGATGCTCTCTCTTCCATCAATCCTGGCTCCAAAGTCCCTTTTGAGCTAGATAGTTTGCTGACAGCATCTGACACAGGAACATGTTACCCGGACCTTCTTGCACCAAGGTAGAGGAAGTAAGTAATATTTGAAGCAGTGCATATCAAAGACTTGGACATGACTCCCATGTCAGACACATTATTAGCTATGTGTGACCCTGTGCCAGTCATCTCTCCTGAGATCAATTTTCTTAATAGTAAAATGGGGTTAAAAATACACTTAAATTTGCCTTACTTGGTTATTAGGAGAAACCAATGAAATAATGTACGTAAAGCACTTCAAAAACCTTAAAACGCTATATAAATGTCATTTTTAACTATGCTGATATAAATCAAATATCACAAGGATCTGTCTACTACTGTTTTACTGCTGTAACAAAAACTCTTAAATGAAGATTACTAATTCTAATTTAGAGTGTCAACTCACTACAAACTCAATATGAATCAATAGTATGACATGAATGGCTCCCCAACAAATACCTTCATGTACTCTATAACCCAGGAAAACCATTCTATTTGCTGTTCCTCACAACTCCCATCTCTGAGCCTTTCACTTAATATTTCCCATGCCTGAGATGCTGTTTCTCCTCATCTCCCACCACTCCTTATCTAGCCTGTTTCGAGAATCAGTTTGGCAGGCCTTTTCCCAGGCCCGCACCTTCCCTCTAAGATTACCTTCCATCATCTCTACCTGACCCTTGTACGTAAATAGTTATTTGCAAGTTGTCTCCCTATTAGAATGCAAGCTCTTCCAGGCAGGGAAGGGGTGTTTTGCCTTTCTTTTTATCTCCAGCATTTACCACTGTGTCTGGTACATAATAAGTGAATAATAAATGTTTATTGACTGACTTTACATACTTGGCATCATTTGAGCCTCATAACAACCTTTGAGATAGGTACTATTATTATCCTCATTATATACATGAGGAAATTGAGGTTCAGGGAGGACAAGTTACTTGCCCAAGGTCATACAGCAAGTAAATGTCTAAGGCAGAAGTCAAACTCCAGGTCCTATAGCTCTACCCTTTATGTCTTACTCAGATCTAGGAACAATGTATACAAATTATAGTGAGACAAATTTCAATTCAATATAAAAAAGAGCTGTCTAATTAGAACTAACAAGGGACAGTCTGCCTTAAAAAGAATAAGGGAAAGAAATAAGCATTTATTAAGCATCTACTATATGCCAGACACTGCGCTAAGCATTTTACAAATATTACCTCATTTTATCCTCACAACAATCCTGAGATAAGTGATATTATTATCCCCATTTTACAGTTGAAGAAACTTAGAACAGAAGTTAAGTGACTTGCCCAGGGTCACACAGCTACTAAGTGTCTGAGGCTGGATTTGAACTCATGTTTTCCTATTTCAGGCCCAACGCTCTATCCATTGCAACACTCACTGCATAAACTTCTTTTCAATGAAAGTAGTAACCACCTGCTCAGAGTAATATAAATAAAGACTCATATATTAGATAAAGGCAGGACTAGCTCTTCATGTCCATTTCAACTCTTTAATCATATGATTTCCAATCATAAGAATGTACAAATTAGTCTTTACAGTGATCAACTGACAATAACTGGAAACCATGAGTATATAGTAATAAATTTAGCAAACCAAATCTTGATCTCTCTATTACCATGGAAACAATAAATCAGTTGACTCATATAAGAAAAGCTTTTAAAAAAAGTTAATATTTTGATGTATTTCATAGTTTCCATGTGAGACTTCTAAAACACATAAATGGAAACTACAGTGCACTTCTTTAGTCAGATGAGCAATAAAGAGGATCCAGAAAATTAAGTAATTACTAAATAGCAAAAAAAAAGGATAACTGTAGTGAACTGAAAATCGCTAAAAATGCACCGATCACAGGGTCAACATAAACAACTGAAAATTAAAAGTTTTAACACCTTCCATGAAGCTGGTGAAAATCAGCTCCTCTGTCTCCTTTCATAGCAATAGTTTGTTCAGGGCTTAGAGTTGGGGGAAAATTAAAAAGCTCAGAGGAAAAACAAATACAAATAGCGTCTATGGTCATTAAATGGCATACATGAAATATACACAAAAATTATCACAAATTGAATTCTTCACTTATACATAATGACTCCCATCAGCATTATCTTTGAATATTAAAGATCACAATTAAGAAATTCCATCTATTTGGCCACCAATGTGACCAAGAATGAAAAGAAAATGGGAAAAATGAAAGAGTGGTAATAGAGGTGATGGTTAACAGTGAACACACAACACTTCCTTTCTAAAGTGTTAACACCACCACCCTAGGTGCTGACGAACTTTGAGTTCTGCTGCTACTTCTAAAATGTCATTTTAAGTCATTTTCATTCCTGCCATGAGCTTAGACCAAGCTTTTATCCCTCCTCCCTACAGACCATAGGCCAAAGAAGTGCAATATATAGGGGTTCAAATGTCATAGGTCTATCTTTGAATTCTTGCAAACTAGTAATAGATGAGAATATGTCACAATAACAATACCAAGAATGCTGGTCGTACCCATATGTACAAGAATATTTATAGTAGCTCTTTTTGTGGTGGCAAAGAATTGGAAATTGAGGGGAAGCCCATCAATTGGGGAATGGCTGAACAAGCTGTGGTATATGAATGTAATGGAATACTATTGTGCTATAAGAAATGATGATCAGGCAGACTTTAGAAAAACCTGGAAAGCCTTGTATGGACTGATGCTGAGTGAAGTGAGCAGAACCAGGAAAACGCTATACAAAGTAACAGCTATGTTGTGCGATGACTAACATTGAAAGACTTAGCCCTTCTCAGCAATGCAAGGATCTAAGATATCTCCAAAAGTCTCATGACGGAAAATGCTATCCACATCCAAAGAACTATGGAGTTTGAATGCAGATCGAAGCATACTATTTGCTATCTTTTTTCGTCTGTATTGTTTTGTTTCCTCTCTGATGGTTCTTCCTATTGGTTCTAACTCTTCCTTATAACACCACTAATGTGAAAATATCTTTAATAGGAATGTATAAGTATAGCCTATATCAGATTGTGCTCTGTCTTGAGAAGGGAGGTGGGGAGGGAGGGGGAGAAAAATTTAAAACTCAAAAGCTTATGGAAGTGGTTGTTGATAAATCAAAATAAATTAATAAAAAAAAAATGTTGGTCATAATCTCGGGAAGGGGGCGGGAGGGAAGAAGTATCTTGTTGGTCTTTCATGGAAAGGCCTATTTTTACCTATTACCTAATTTTCATATGCTAAATACAACAAAAAAAGCATGCTTAATCTTCCCTACAGTAAACAACTCCATTTGTGTTAACAGTTTCTCAGAAAACTGGTTGTCCATACCTTTAAAACACTTTGGTTTTCCTTGGACTTTCCTTTTTCATCCAAAACTAAATACAATGTTCTAGTTACAAAATCTGACTAATGGGCCATATAAGCAAAAAGGTTAGGCATAGGTCTTAAAACTCATATGCCTTTCTCTCCATTTCAGTAAATCATTAATCCCTCTCTTCAACAGCACTGCATTGCTGATTCACAGGCAGCTCTTTACCTCATAGGATCATCTAACTATGCTTCCTTACCTTGGCACAATCTTTCTACATTTGCTATTAGCATTTTGTTTCTTAATATTTTAAAAGAAGACATTTTTGATCTGTGGAATCATTTTTTCCAATCTGTCAAGATCTCTTGAAATTTTATTCATGTCTTCCTAATAGGTAACCTCAACTTTGTTTCTTTATTATCATCAGAAATTTTGATAAGTATAACATTGATTTCTAGTTTATCATCTCATATATGACACAATTAAATACATTATCATCTATTTTCATCTTACGCTATCAGTGAAACCCTAATAACTAAAACTGCAGGTGTGACCTTTAAGATAGTTTTCTACCCGCTTAAGAATGGCATGAAGTATGATGATGAAACAATTATATATGTATTTATACATATCATATATCTTATATATACATGTCTATGTTAGGAAAAGAGTTGCAGTTATTTTTAATGTAGCAGAATTTATCTATCCAAATGAGAATTTTTCCCTTCAAATAATTTTGTTAAGAGAAAGTATATTAATACTAATGATCCTGCCACTGCTCAAAAATTCTTTGAAAATTCTCTTTTGGAACTGCCTTCAGAGCTTGCATCACATTCTTCTGAATACCTCTATGGCAGCAAATTTTCTGCCTGAAGGGGGATTTGATTTTTGAAAATAGCCAAGAATCATCTGGAGTCAAGTCTGATGAATAAGGTAAGTGATCAAGCTGCAAAACATGATTTTTGTTCAAATGCTATTTCGCAGAATGCATACTGTGAGCTACAGCATTATCACTGTGCATTTTTCATCACACAGATTCTCTCAAGTGCTTCACCATAGGTCCAAATGACAGTTTGACCTTGTGAATTCTATGTGATCTATGCCAAGCTGGTGTGAAAAAGAAATCAACACTGACTTCACTTGTGATTTTGGCATGTGGATATTCTATCTCACAGATGCTGCAATTTTCCACTGCAGACTTAGCAAATTGGTTTTAAGGCCATACAGGAAATACCATGTTGGAAATGGCTGGGAAATACTAGTGACATTGGTCAATTTAAATTTAACTCAAGTCATCATTCTTGAAGTTTTCTATTTGAATAAACCAAATCTTTAAAACTGTAGGACATAGAACTGAAAGAAACCTTAGAAATCGAGTTCAACATCCTCATTTTACAAATGAAGACATAAGGGTCCAAAGAGGGGTCCCTCTCAACCCTAAATCATATGAAACAGGTAAAAGTGGCAAAGCCAGAATGTAAATCCAGATCCTGTATTCTAAATCTAACGCTCTTTCCACTTAACCACATTGCTTCATTACCAACATTTTCATCAGTCCTATGGATGCTTCATAAATCATGATGTTCATCTTTTTTAATTCTTTACAATTTTTGTTTCCTAATTTGTTAAAAATTCTTACTCAGGTCTTTACTACATCTGTATGCAAACTGTATCATCTGCAAATTGGTTATGACTTCACATAAAACTGCACATTGTTGTTTTTTTTAATTTCTAAATAAGTTATTCATTTCTGTGTTTATACAACAAATACATTTCTGCAATTCTTCACAGCTGCTAGCACAAGACTCACCAATCTTAAAAATACAGCTGCAGCTAAGCTGATATGTAGCATACCCCTACCATGATCACTTTTACAAGCCACAAAAAAAGTCCCATCACTTTATTAGAGACACATGTCATATAATCAAATTTATGTTTGTTGATATTTAAGTTCACAATAAAGAAATTTTTAAAATAAAACCATATTTTCCTAACTTTCCAGTGATTTCATGTGGATTCAAATAAATGTTCTCTTATTTGTTGCTAGTCATTTATCAGTGAAGGAATTTGTTTCCTCATTTCTTTTGCTTTTAAAGAATACTATTAATTGACTGCTTGCTCATTTGTGCTAAATAGAAATTAAGGTGATAGGACCATAACTATCCTTTTATTCTTTTTCACAAAGACATCATTTCATTTTATATTTTTTAAGCAGTCAAATTTCAATCATTTGTGATGAAGGCAGAAATTCTGATTCTCAACTTGATCCTTAATAATTTTCAAGTCCTGTTTTAATGAAAATTTATTAAGAGCAGCTAATGAATCTCAAAAGTTACTGTAAGTCCATCTCCACAAAGCAGTAAAAGATTCATGATCATTGAAAAAGTCAAAAGGTAGGCAGTAGAATGGTTAAAGTGTCAAATCCACCAACTTGATAAAATGATATTCTCATATAATAATAGCTTAATATCCTTCATTCGGCTTTTTTCTATGATCTGATCTCACATTTGGCTAATAAACATAGAATTAGGTAGTCTTCCATTAAGATCTAGCATAAAGAAAACAAAACAGAAATGTCAACTATACTTCAGCAATTTCCAGGTTATCTTTTATTCCAAAGCACCTTCACAAGGAGGGTAAAGAAATAAGGAGTTACAATATTTTTTTAATTAGTAGTAGTAGCAACTTATAAAAAATAATAAGGAAAAAATGTCACCAGAAAAGGAGATAGCTATGTCCAAAAGACACAAGTGATATTTTGCATACTTACTTCCAGTTCTAGGGAAAGATCCCAGAGGCATATTTGTCCATCATGACATCCTGTTACAATTGTAGCCCCATCATCCATTAAAAGCACAGTTGAGATGCAGTGTGTTGGTGCTTTACGACCCCAAAGAACAATTGGTAGAACAAGGCTGTTTCCCGCCATTTTGCTTTCACACCTGGAAATTTCATAAAGATAATTTTCAGTATTTATTGCAAAAAAAATTCCACCAGAAGATCCCCACATATTTACATTTTAATGACAAATCTCAACCACACACAATTTGAAAATCACTACCGCACCCTATTAACAAAATTTGGCCAAATGTTTATCCCTGTACAGACAAAATTCTTCATGTACAACTTTATCCTTATTTGCTTTACTCAAACAATGACTAAACAAGTAAATCAAGTCTCTTTACATAACGATTACTTTCAAGACAATTGATTAATATTTTATATACAGAAACTAGACAAAGAAACATATGAGTCCTCTTTATAGAAGGACATGATGCTATATGTACATTGTTAAATGCGTTACTACATCTAAGTTTTTGCTTTCATGTTTTTCTTCGTTACAAAGGACAGTGTAATGTGGGGGTGGGGAGTGGGGAGAGATTGGAGTTTTTTGTTGTTTTTTTCTGTTCCTTCATGCAAGGACAAAAGGCATCAAGAATATATTTTTAAAAATAAATTTTGAAAAGTATTTTGCTTAGTTTGTTTCATTGGTTTGTTGATGACATTGTGTTCCCTTTAGGAAACACAAAAACATTCAGAAGAGTTTGGCCTAACTGCCGATACATGAAACACCAAGTGGCTAAAGAACATCTGTTATGTGACCTCTGATAAGCAGGTGGACAAGCTGGTTCATCAGGGTATATACAGCCATTGCAAACTGACAACAAGTACTAAGGGTGGGATGAGTTGTCCTTGAAATTTGTTCAATCCTTTTAAGAACCTCAAGCTCCTCCCTAAAACAAAAGTCAGTAAAGATTCTTGTAAAGAATGGGGCTTTGCCACAAAGAGATAGAAGTACATTCAGTACCTGGTCCTTTCCTATTTAGCAAATGCCACAGAGATCAGAGCCTAAACGCAGCCACTGCATCATGAGAGCAGAGTTCCAGCCAGGAATTTCAGGAGGAGTCAGAGCCTGGGACCAAACACCTCATCCAAGGCTGTTAGAGGGCAGAACTTGCAACTAGCAGAGTTCAGTTCAAGAAAGAAGGGAATATAAGCTGAAGACCACCAAAATCCCTGCTCAGCTACAGCACCTAGCACTGTAGGAGTGACAAGACTTAGATCCCAAGCTCGGTGGCCCTCTCCAAGGCATCATTCCTTCCTCAACGTCCAGACCAATAATGTGAAAGGGAACAGGGCCAAGAAGCTATTCTCAATCAGGATTACTGGCTACCCTACTCCAGACCCTCCAGTGAGAGCACAGTATGGCTTCTTACAGGCCCTCCAGTCTCACCCTGGATTCAGCATTGAAGGACCCAAGTGACAAGGCTTGCAACTGCAAAGCCAAAATAACTTCAAAACAAATAGTAAATGAAGACCTTTGCCCATCATCTCTAGCAGAAAGGCTTAAAACATAATTAAGAAAATTCCTAATACAATGAAGAAATACATTGCTTATTAACAGAATTTGAAGGTAAAATTCCATAAAGTATATCTGCAGGCAGCAAGAATGGAATAAGTAGATAAAGAGAAAATGACAAAAAAGGAAAAGGATAACTGTTGGGATGATCTGTTAAAGAAGACAAGAAGAAAAGTTTGTTTTTTTAATTAAATAAGCAATATGGCAAGAAAAAATTACTCAATGAAAAAATAAACAAAACAAGCAGTAACTTCAATAAAATAGCAAGATGTAAAAGAAACACAAAAATCATCAAATTTTCTCTACACTACTAACAAAACCCAGCAGGAGGAGATAAAGAAGGAAATTTCATTCAAAATACCTACAAATTATATAAAGTTTAAGGATAAAAATGGATCAAGGCCACTACATCAAGAAAATGGAAAATACTGATTTTAAAAAAAATTATAACAATTTTCTCCAACAAGGACAGTGGTACTACCATAATTGGATCTAACATCACAGTCCCAAATGTGTTTATATAAAGGATGAAGAAATGGAACTTAAAAGAAAATAGGGAAAGCAACCTGACTAGACCAATACATATAGAAGCCATTTGTGTCAGAAGAAACACAATTATAAAGGTACTAAATGACCAACATACAAGGTATGTGAAAAAGGAGAAGGTACCAAAGATATGGAAAAATCCTAGGACCTAATTAATACCCCTCCAACTAAAAGAATGTTATTAACTACTAACCTATATGCTTATTTGCTCATCAATATATAGATGACTTTCTGAAAATTATCTAAAAGGTACTCACAGGGAATAAGTAGGCTTTCATAAATGATACTCAATAACGAACCACATATTTACCATTGCATAACCAACTAAGACATAGAGAACAGAGATTCCACTATATTTATTACTTGTTAATTGTGGAAGGGAAAGCATTTGATTTGATAGAACAATTGACCAACAGGCTATTTCACTACACAGTATCTTCCATCCATACTTCAAAATGATTCAAGATTCCTTGAAGGATAGAAAAATAGAAATATCTGTGCTCAATGACCCTCCAATCAAAAGTCAACAAAGCATAAAACACGGAAATAGGTGCTTGTCAAAGATGTTTCCCACAGTGAAGGAGGAGATCCAAGTTGAAATGGAATTCATTTTGCATGGTAACGTTACTTGTCTGTCAGTGACAATTTACTGATTATATCAAGCTCCAGAACATAAAGTAGCCTCCTGAAAGATTGAGTGTAATAACTCAAAAGAGTCTGGCTCAACCATTCACACAGAAAGGATGAAATGGATGAAAAATGTCAATTGCCAAGAACGTGCATTTGCATGGACAACTTATATAGCTTTTTTGGGAGACGTGTGTGTGTATGTGTGTAGAGATATAGATATATAGATGGGTAGATAGACGGATGGATGGATGGACAGATAGATAGATCTGGGACATGCAGTACAGAAACAAGTTGGGCCAAGAGTTGAAAAATAAGGAATAGAGAGTGGATTGCCTTTGGAAACTGCCAAGCTCTATAACTGGCCCCAAGCTTCTATGGCCCAGTTTTTTTAATAGAAACATTCTATCAGCATTGCTAAGTAACAACATGACATGTAAAACAACAGTCTCAAAAGAATTAAAGATGAATATCATATGAACAGCAATGAAAGGTTGTATAGTTGTTATGAGTTGACCACATCATATAACCAATGAGGAACTCTGATGAAGAACAGAAATAAAAGATGCCATCAATGAAACATATGAAAAGAAAAGGGCTGGTCACATGACAAGTGATAACATGTGGACAGCCAGAGAGCTCCACTAGCACTCTCACATCAGGTGAAAAAGAGGAAAGCCTCCACCATGCTATTATGAAATTATGAAAGGCCATGGAAAAGAATGAGCAGGCAGAGAATTGTGATCTGTAACAACGTAGGGAACTTCTGAATCAATGAGATCACAGATCTTGTATCCACAAAAACATATTCAGGATTTATGTGAACACAACTAAAACCACTCTTTACAGAAGAGGAAGATTTAAACAACTGAAGAGACATGAATTTTTCATGGTTGGACATACCAATATAGTAAAACTATATTTCTACCTCAAATTACTTTACAGATTTAATGCCACACCAAACTACCAAGGGATTTCTTTATAAAGCTAGTTCAAACAACATAATTCACCTGAAGGAATAAAAGGTCAAGAACTTCAAAGGATTTTTTAAAATAGGAATAAAGGGAACATTATATTGCTAGACCTCAAACAAGACCATAAAGCAATAATTACCTAAACTATTTGGTACTTGTATAAAAGCTTTTTAGGAGAGGATCTGGGAAGATGGAGGAGTAGGTCTGAGAATTTGAAGCTCTCAAGATTTTCCTCCACAAAATAGATAAAATAGCACCTCTGGGCGAACATAGAGCCATAAAAACAAATAGGAGTAGGGGAAGAACAACAGGCAAGCCTGGGGCTAGCTGGTTTTGGAGGCTGCTTCAGCCCCAGTCACAGGAACTTTAACCCCAGGGACAGTGAGGAGAGTTGGACGTCTGACCTAGGGATGATAGGGAACCTCTGCTGAGAAGAAACACCAGACCCAGCCGTGCTGCCAGCTGGGCCAAGAAGGAATCGGCACTGGCCTGTGAGTGCAGAAGCTGTGAGGTGGCTGTGGGCACTTACAGGAGGCTGGAGGTCTTGGTTTGCATTCAAGGTCAGAAAGGAGAACTGAAAAGGATCAGAGGCCAGAGGCACCATCCCCCAAACCCCAGGACTAGAGGTGATTATAAAACCTAAATTATTATCACAAAGGAAAAAAAATGCACAGGCAAAGGAGAAAGAATTCAACCATAGAAGAGCTACTATGGGAATAGAGAAGACTGGGGTTTGTCTTCAGAGGAGGATACTGAAGCAAAGCAATCCTCTTTACCCCAAAGAGTAATGTCAAATGGTCACCTGGCCAAAAAGAATGCATTGAAGAACTTTAAAAATATTTTAAAAATCAAATGAGAGAGATTGAGAAAAACTAAAAAGAAAATAATAATAGTACAAGAAAAACAAGAAGATTATGAAAAGAAAGTCAACCAATTACAAAAGGAAATACAGAATCTTAAGGAAGAAAATAACTTCTTGAAAATCTGAAGTGGGCAAGGGGAAGCCTGTGAAGTCATAAGAGATAAAGAAATAAAAAAACAAAATATAAAGAATGAAAAAAATAGAAGACAATGTGAAACATCTCATAAGAAAAACAATGAATCTAGAGAACTGATCAAGAAGAGAAAACATAAGAATAACTGGCTGAAAGCCATGATAAAAAAAAAAAGAATCTTGACACAATAATACAAGAAATAATTAAAGGAAATTGTCCTGAAGCATTAGAACAAGGGGGGAAAGTAGAAACAGAAAAAAAAAACCCACCAATCACCACCTTAAAGAGATCCCATGAGAAAAACTCACAGGAATATTTGAGTCAAATTCCAAAACCTCCAGTTCAAGGACAAAATACTACAAGCAACAAGAAAAAAACAACTTACATATGGCGGTACCACAATTAGAATCACACAAGACCTAGCAGTGGTGACACCAAAA